TTTCACCTATAATGCGGTAAGATTTTTTGGCTCCCAAGGACAGCATTATATCGAGGTAGAGGTGTATATCTATCTCTGTATGCACAGGCTATTATCTTATAGGTTGTTGTTATTATTATGTTAGTTCAAGGTTCCCCTTTCCCCAGATAACTCGCTGGGTCCTATCTAACGCTCAAGGCAGTCTTTGAGCCCTGGAGGGATGGACTTGACTCCAGGGGTGCTCGCTTGCAGGGGTAGACATTAGACCAGACCCGTGGGATCTGAAGGACCTTTGCTTCTCCTGTTCCAGTTCTCTGGCACCACATGTATCAACGTTAGGAGACAACCAGAACTGAGGATCAGGAACGGAAGCTCAGGAACTGGCCATCGAACATGGACTGACTTGACCAGCCAGCTTTAAACTAAAAGAACCTTCTTCTGTATGGCTGTCTGCCCTGCTCAACCTCAGTCACTCCACTTACTCTCGGTTTCTCTCAGTCTGGTTTCCCTCTGTCTCTCTGGCTGCCCTCTCCTCACACCCTATTTCTCTGCATTTACTCCCAGACTCTGTGTTTCTTTCTCTCTCTCAGGCTGCCCCCTGCCTGCCTCCGTCCACTGCCTTCCTCTTCTCCTCCAACTGTCACTTCCCATCCCTCTGAGACTAGGGGCCACCTCTTCTCCATAGCAAACTGACAGTACATTCACCCTGAACACACCCTAAATCTCATATCCCCACACAAGGTCGAGTCCGTTGTTTACCATTTGTTTTGTTTCCAGGAGGTCTTATTTTTCCCTAACGGCAACTACTATCATCCTTTGTATTGTGGTAGTTCCTAGAAACTCCAGTAGGGTGACCAGACAGCAAATGTGAAAAATCAGGACAGGGTGGGGGGTAATAGAAGCCTATATAAGAAAAATACCCAAAAATCAGGTCTGTCCCTATAAAATCGTGGCATCTGGTCACCCTAAACTCCAGTCAAGAGCTGGGCCCCATTGTGCTACGCACTATGTGGACACGCAGAAAGAAGCAGTCAGAGCTCCAATGAGCTTACAGTCCAGCGCTGCCTTCTTGCAAAGACTCATGCACATGTGTAATGTTAACCAATGAATGAACAAACAAGTTACCAAGTTAAAACAGAATTTGATTAGAAAAAGGAACGGGGCGTGGGGAAAATAAACAGAAAATAAAATCAGGAAAAGATTACAGGAAAATGAAGAAGAGAGTAAAGGAGGAAAAATATGGGTGAGAAAGCAAAAGTATTCAAATATCAAAGGGTAAGCACCAATATCTCCAAATGTATTTGTAAAGCATAAAAAATATACAGTTTCTTATTTGAAATACTTTTGTCTATTGTACGCTCAATATATAAAGGCCCCAGTTCACAAAAGAATTTTAAGCATGTGCTTAAGTCCCAATCAAGCCTGTGCTAAGCTGTTTTCCCTGGGTCCATTTCCATCAGCTGAACTGGGGCCATAGTTCTTATTTCTCGGCATTGAAGATTACTCAGAAGCGATCTGTTAAGAATGTTAATTTTAAGCAACGAAGGAGGACGTGACCTGAAATGCACTGTTCTGTGGATCTGTTCTTAGGAATATTTTCTTGTAATTCACAAGCCACAAGGTGTCACTAGAGCTGTAGACACATCGCTCAAAGAAAACCAGCATAATGAAAACAAATATTAATTCCGGTTAGGTGATGGGAAATCTGCATCTTCAATAAAAACACCACCCCTCTAAATCATAAGCCATAATTTAACAGCAAATAAAGCTCATTCTGTAAGTGAGCTTGTGGATCAGCTGAACAGTGTTAAGAAAACTGTAGAACATTCACGTTCTCTTCCCGGGTGCATGGCTGGCCTCCAGATTCTGGCTTTCAATTACCTCCCTATTAACCTAATTTCCAGTGCTGTCCACCCTTATTCCTCTCACACCCTTGATCTGTTATCACTGTACATTTAGGGCTTGATCCTGCAAAGAGCTTTGAACTAGGGCTGTCAATTAATCGCAGTTAACTCACGATTAACTCAAAACAATTAATCGCAATTAAAAAAATTAATTGCGATTAATCGCACTTTTAATCGCATTATTAAACAATAGAATACCAATTGAAATGTATTAAATATTTTTGGAAGTTTTTCTACATTTTCAAATATATTGATTTTATTTACAACACAACACAATGTGGACAGTGCTCACTTCAATTATTTTTTATTACAAATATTTGCACGGCAAAAGTGATATCACCTCATACAAGTACTGTAGTACAATCTCTTTATCCTGAAAGCGCAACTTACAAATGTAGATTTTTTTTTGTTCCATAACTGCACTCAAAAATTAAACAAAGTAAAACTTTAGCGCCTACAAGTCCACTCAGTCCTATTTCTTGTTCAGCCAATCATTCAGACAAATATGTTTGTTTACATTTGCAAGAGACAATGCTGTCCGCTTCTTGTTTACAATGTCACCTGAAAGTGAGAACAGGCATTCGCATGGCACTTTTGTACCTGGCATTGCAAGGTATTTACGTGCTAGATATGCTAAACATTCATATGTCCCTTCATGCTTCCATGCTGATGGCGCTTGTTTCAAAAAATGCTTTAATTAAATTTGCCTTCTGAACTCCTTGGGGAAGAATTGTATGTCCCCTGCTCTGTTTTACCTGCATTCTGCCATATATTTCATGTTATAGCAATCTAGGATAATGATCCAGCTCATATTGTTTGTTTTAAGAACACTTTCACAGCCGATTTGACAAAACGCAAAGAAGGTACCAATGTGAGATTTCTAAAGGTAGATACAGCACTCAATCCCAAGGTTTAAGAATCTGAAGTGCCTTCCAAAATCTGATCGGGACAGGGTGTGGAGCATGCTTTCAGATGTCTTAAAAGAGCAACACTCCGATGCAGAAACTACAGAACCCAAACCACCAAAAAAAGAAAATCAACCTTCTGCTGGTGGTCTCTGACTCAGATGATGAAAATGAACATGCGTCAGTCTACTCTGCTTTGGCTTGTTATTGAGCAGAACCCATCATCAGCATGGATGCAAGTCCTCTGGAATGGCGGTTGAAAAAGGAAGGGACATATGACTCTTTAGTACGTCTGGCACGTAAATATCTTGCAACACCAGCTACAACAGTGCCATGCAAACACCTGTTTGTAAACAAGAAGCGGGCAGCATTATCTCCTGAAAATGTAAACAAACTTGTTTGTCTGAGCGATTGGCTGAACAAGAAGTAGGACTGAGTGGACTTGTAGGCTCTAAAGTTTTACATTGTTTTATTTTTGAGTGCAGTTATTTTTTTGCACATAATTTTATATAAGAACATAAGAATGGCCATACTGGGTCAGACCAAGGGTCCATCCAGCCCAGTATCCTGTCTGCTGACAGTGGCCAATGCCAGGTGCCCCAGAGGGAGCGAACCTAACAGGCAATGATCAAGTGATCTCTCTCCTGCCGTCCATCTCCACCTTCTGACAAACAGAGGCTAGGGACACCATTCCTTACCCATCCTGTCTAATGGCCATTAATGGACTTAACCTCCATGAATTTATCCAGTTCTCTTATATTAGCCATTAATGGACTTAACCTCCATGAATTTATCTAGTTCTCTTATAGTTGTAAGTTGCACTTTCACGATAAAGAGATCGCACTACAGTATTTGTATTAGGTGAATTTCTTTTGTTTTTTACCAAGCAAATATTTGTAATAAAAAATAAATATACAGTGAGCACTGTACACTTTGTATTCTGTGTGGTAATTGAAACCAATATATCTGAAAATGTAGAAAACATCAACAAATATTTAAATAAATGGTATTCTATTATGCTTTAACAGTGCGATTGTGATTAATTTTTTTAATCGCTTGATAGCCCTGCTTTGAACACTTTACCCTGATCCAGTAAAACATTTAATTTTGTGCTTAATATTAAGCCTATGGGTAGTCCCATTGCAGAATACTTAGTCCTGCCTTGAGTGCAGGGGACTGGACTAGAAGACCTCTCGAGGTCCCTTCCAGTTCTATGCTTAGTGTCTTGCAGTGCTTAGTGCTGTGGGCATCTACACCTGTATGTTGCCACTTGGAAACTATTGACACAATGTAATAACCTTAATGCAGCAGAGCAGAAGAAATGCCAGCGAGGCAGTCCCACACCCTGGAATAAACAAGTAGCCTTCATACTAGATCTTGGTGCAACTGGAGAACAGTTTGACACTTAAACTTCAAACCCAGGGGTTTGTGTCATTTCTGCTAATGATTTAACAATTTGCAACAAAGGTTTTCCCACTTCAACCCAGCTCCTCCCAGAGCTTACACAGAAGTCAGAGGGTTGTAATGGTCCAGCTTCCCTTACCTGCTATGGTGGAACAGAAAAGGGGGCTGAATTCATGTGCTCTGGGCTCCAACCCGGGACTAGGCGTTAATGGCGTCCCAGACGATGCTAGGGGATTTGTGGTCATCAGCCGTAGCAGAAACGCTGATCTAGCAGAAACAAAACAAGTTACATAGTGGCTGGCAAGTGTGACATCTGTGTGTAAAGTGCTACTCCACCCAGCTCTGTATTCGTACTGGGAAAAGCGAGGTCTGTTCACCAGGGGCCTGATTCTCTGTTTCCCTGCACCTCGTGTAGTTCTTTGCATTGCAAAGGGAGCATGAAATACCACCATTCTGATTCGGCTGGGCTTTGCGCTCACTTTGCATTGGCGTTAGTGACTACATGAGGTGCAGAGAAATGGCAAATGGGAACTAAGGATTGTAATTATTGACGGCCAATGGAAGATGCTGCTGAACTCTACTTCAACTCCTCAGAGCACCGACTGCTCCAGGCCGAACAGCAGCTGAGAATTAAAGCTGCCCACCCTCTCTCATTTTCTTTGTACTTACCAGAGGAAAGAGCTGAATTACTTGCCCAGGTCAGCTTAGCTGTTGCATATGAGTATACTGCACTCTGGAAGGGTACAGATGGCTTGTTTGCTCTCCTTCAGAGCGTAGTGTGGGGTACCACTGCTTTTCAGTGCCTATTGGAAAGAAACTGATGCAGGCGACAACTTTCCATTGTCAGCTGCGGCGCAGACATGTATGTCAGTCAGTTCACCCACGCTTGTAAAGTGGAGTTCAGATCAGAAACTTGCCCCGGAGGGAAGGAAGAGGCTCAAAACCAGACAGGAACCTTCTGTCCTTGGTGTCAAAATAAATTTTCCGCCGGTGAGAAGCAGTGGTAGCATTTTGCTGTCCTCATCACCCGCACAGGCTGCACTCAATGTCTGCATGTGTCTTTGCAACTTTGCCATCTGTTTGTTGAGTGGCGATTGTGCGCTCTCACCCACACTGCTGCTGTCTCTAGTTAGAGCTTATTGCTGTTCTCTTCTGCCCCCCTGGCTGTGTGCTGCTGGTTCACTCAGCTCACATCACTGCAGGATATCTGGGGAGCGGGGAAGTGATGGGGGAGGCAATAAGAAGCCACCCACAACACATATCCACACAGGCGTTTCTTCTTTGCTCGTGGGATGAGAGTTACTTTTAAGTGTAAAGAAATGAAAAAGGACAGTGACTGACTGAACTTAACCATACATAGATTAATACACAACTCATTTTGGCTACCTCTCTGCCCCCGCCTTTGTTCGAGGCGGTCATATGGTGGCCCTTCTCCTGGGGAGTTCTCCTGTGGCAGGCCAAAGTACAGCTGGTGCACCTGCCTCAGTGTCCCCTTTCTTCCAGCGTTCCCATTAACGCCATGCCTTTGTTTCCAGGTATAAATAGCCCTCTGCAGCGTCAATTTATTACAAAAAAAATCCCGCAACCATAATCTAACCCTCCCCCGTACAGTCTAAATAGTACAGTCAATCTTTCAAGTCCCAACAGTCTATCAGCACCCCACGTACAGCGCTGGCATCTCAGCACACTGCAGCTCTCCTGTACTGCTCCGACATCTGTCACCAGGCCTCACAACAATAGTACAGCTCCAGCGTCTCTCACCACGCTCCAGCTCTCAGGTACAGCTCCGACGTCTCTCACCATGCCTCACAACAATAGTACAGCTCCAGCATCTCCCACCACGCTCCAGCTCTCAGGTACAGCTCCGACGTCTCTCACCATGCCTCACCCTGTCTAGCTGCGGTGCTTCTCTGCCCGCTTTCATTTTCAGGACTGATTCTAGTGCTTGCCCAGAGACATCAGCTGTCTTACTCCTCCATCATGCCTCAGCCTTCAGCTCTCCGGCTCAGGGAGCCAACAGGCATCTTCCTCCGCCACGTTCAGCCCTCTCTGGCCTGGGGAAGTTTGTAGGTGACCCCGACTGCCTTTCTGCCTTTTGCTTTCACCAGCCTGATCTGGCTCCGTTGCTCAACCAGGGAACTCTGACCACTCTCTCCTTCAGAGGCATCCCCCCGTGTAGCTCTCAGCCCAGCTCTGCACTTCTTCTGTGCACTGTCTCAGGAGTCTGAGTTCTGAATTCTCCTTCAGGGCATCCATCGCTGAGCATTCTGCACTCTGGGTTCGGGACTCAGTCAGTGCCCATAGGCAACTGGAGCAGGAAAGCTGGGCCTGATTTCATGGAAGGGATCAGCTACCCTGTTACAGAGGACAACCATAGTTTATCAGACAGCCAAGTCTGAGATCTAGCCCTTACCTTGCTTGTCTTAGGTAATATCTCCCCAGCTTATCTCATTTCTTCTTACACAGAAGATGGTAACCAATTTGACTGTCAGTAGCAGTCCAAGGAAATCATGGAGTGAATTTGAGGTGTTTTTTAATAGACCAGAGGTTCTCAAACTTCATTGTACCACGACTCCCTTCTGACAACAAAAATTACTACACGACCCTAGGAGGGGGGACTGAAGCCTGAGCCCCACCACCCCGGGGGGAGGGGGAAGCCGAAACCGAAGCCCAAGGGCTTCAGCCCCGGGTGGGGGGCCTGTAACCTGAGCTCCACCGCATAGGGCTGAAGCCCTCGGGCTTTGGCCCCAGGTGGTGGGGCTTGGGCTTTGGCTCCGAGCCTCGGCCCCAGCAAGTCTATTGCCAACCTTGGCAACCCCATTAAAA